CCCTAAAGCAAAAAAAAAAAAAAAAAAAAAAAACCCAAAACCAAAAAAAACCCTACCAAAAAAAACCCCACCAAAAAAAAAAAAAAAAAAAACCTCAATGAGCCTCACTACTTAAAAACGAAATTATTTTATTATTTTATTTTTGGAGAGGGTTTTGCTATAGGGTGCGTGTGCTCGCCAGAAAGACAGAGACAGAGAGACAGAAAGTGAGAAATCATCCCCCAGGGAGGATGGCCACGCCGCAATCCCTTCTCCTCCATTCTCCTCTCGGGATCTTGGGCATGCACGCACACGCGCCCGGCGTGAGTTTAAGCCACCAGGTCCGGGACTCACACCGTGGTCGACTACATGGGAGTCCAGTGACATAGCCATTACGCCAACTGCTGGTCCCAAAATGAAATTATTTTGATGTGTGCATTCCTTAACGTTTGTAATGATTCATTCAGGGTTAACTTTCATGTACAATAACTTAGATTCTTTAAAGCAGGGTAAGATTATCAAACCTTATTATTATATAATAGTCTGACATATATGATGCATTCAAGAACTCTATGTGCAGTAACAGTTAAGTGATGAAATGAGTACTTTTCTTTACTCATTACAATTTTTTGTTTGTTTGTTTTTTGGAGAAGTTTCTGCTATGGGGAGTGTGCAACTCACCAGAAAGAGAGACAGAGAGACAGAAAGTGAGAAATCACCCCCCACGGTGCAATCCCTTCTTCTCCATTCTCCTCTTGGGATCTTGGGCACGCACACACACGTGCCTGATGTGAGTTTAAGCCACTGGGACGGGGACTTAAACCATGGTTGACTACATGGGAGTCCAGCGACATAGCCATTATACCATCTATTGGTCCCTCATTACAATTTAAAAAACTACTTCATCTTGTTAAAAACCTTGTCTGGGGGCCAGCAGGTGGTGTGGTGGTTAAGGTGCTGGACTCCCATATGGCCAACCACAGTTCAAGTCCTGGACCTGGTGGTTTGCTTTCTCACTTTCTCTCTCCCCTTCTGTGTCTAACCCTGCTCAAATAAAAACAAATAAATAATAATAATAAAGTTAAATAATGAAACAATTATAAAAAACCCAAACAAACAAGAAAACCTTAAGTCTGAAAAAAAAAATAAAATAGGGGAACTGACAGGTGGTGTGGTGGTTAAGGTACTGGACATTCCCACATGGCAGTGGTTTGAATCCTGGACCTGGTAGCTTGCTTTCTCACCTTCCCTCTCTCTCTCTCTCTGTCTCTCTCAGGTCAAATTATAATAAATGAATGCATAAATAAAATTAAATAATTATTTTAAAAAAAGAAATATAAAATATTAAGGTTAAAGAAGAAGATTCCTAATTTGTCATTGTAAGTCAGATTGCAAAGTTAAGAACTGGATCATAATCCCACTAAGTATACCTAAAGAGTGAAATTAGCAATTAGATTGTATCTGTCCTGCAATCTGTGTTACTATTAATATGCAATTAAAGTTGTACACTATTATAAAACTAAGATGTAAAAGGATATTTGGATGAGGCCAGCAGGTGGCATGGTGGTTATGATGCTGGACTCCCTCATGGCTGACCATGGTTCAAGTCCCAGACCTGGTGGCTAGCTTTCTCACTTTCCCTCCCCGCCACCCTGGTCAAATTAAATAAAAAATAAAATTAAGTAAATCTTATTTTTTTTAAAAAAGATATTTGGATCAAATCACAACCAATATGGGTTAATAAAAAAAAAGACTTTAAATAATTTTATAAATAAAATTATTTTCAGAATGTATGCTACAATAGAAAAATTCTTCAAAGAGAAAAACAGCGACAAAACCCAAAAGAACCACTAAAAACAGCCAGTTTGAAGAAAAGGAAGAACATCTTGGGAATAAAAATAAAACTGCATTCCACTTTTATCTACCATTTTCTCCCTCCCTTTACTGAGCCATTAAAGCACTTTGGGCACTACATCATATACAATTTTAAATTGCCAGTTCTTCATATGGATTCATTTCGTCTCTGAATGTAAAGTTCAAGTTACTCAAGGATATCTTATTCTACATACCACGGCAAAAACAGTGCTATCAGCACAATTCATTTTTTTTAATATTATAGTTCTAACCAAATCCTAAAGCTAGGTGAGCAATTATACTGTCAAAGAATCTCTGACTCTTCTTTATAGCACATATCATTTTCTACCATTATTTATTTATTTGGCTTACTTGTTTACTCTGTTTCTCCCCACCAAAGTAAAGGCTTATGAAAAACAGAACCGATCTATCTTGTTTTGTGGTCTTTACTTGGATACTATAAGGTATGTTACAGAGGACTGAACAGAAGATGCTCAATATTTGTTAAAATGAACCATCATGAGACCAGCAGCTGGTGTAATGGCTATATGGCTGGACTCCCATGTAGTCAAGCAGGTTTGAGTCTTGGACTCAGTGGCTTAAACTCACGCCGGGTGCAAGTGCATGAGTGTGCGTGCTCAAGATCCCAAGAGGCGAATGGAGGAAAAGGGACTGCAGCGTGGCCATCCCCCCGGGGGGTGATTTCTCGCTTTCTGTCTTTCTCTCTGTCTTTCTGGTGAGCGCACACACCCTATAGCAAAAACCTCTCAAAAAAGAACAAAGAACAGAAAAGAACAGAACCATCACTGTACGAATAGTTACTATACTGTATGAGGGGGTCTTCATAAAATTCATGGGAAATGCCTATCATGAAAAAGCTACACGTGGATTTCAAAATTTTTTGTACCCAAATAAACCCATACTTTAATTCCATCTTTCTTTTTGAAGTATCCTGGCAGATACAGCATGGTCTTTAACGGGGGTAAAAGGTCATGAAGAGGGTGAATAAATTCCTAAATCTTCCAGTGACATTGAACACCATCTGCTACTCACATCAGCTCCCTCTAAAGACTTTTTCAGCACCGCAACCACTTCTTCCTGGAAAGCAACTTCATCCACACATTTCGGGCGACTAGGGGATGG